ACAGCAAAAGCAGTAAAATTGTGAAATATTTTTACTATTTAAAACAGCTGTTTTCTATGTGAATATCTGTTAAAATGTAATTTATTTCTGTGATGCGCAGCTGAATTTTCAGCATCATTACTTCAGTCTTCAGTGTCACATGATCTTCAGAAATCATTCTAATATACTGATTTGCTGTTATATTATAGAAATTAATACTATTATTTAGCAAGGATGCTTTAAGTTGATCAAATGTAATATAATAATAATAATAAATGTGTCGGCTCTTCTGTTCTCAGCTCAAGCCCCAAAGAGTGTGAAGATCTTCATTAATCTTCCTCGTTCGTTGGGTTTCGATGACGCTGAGAGAAGTGAAGCCACGCAGGCGCTGGATCTGTCGGAGGAAGACTACAAAGACGACGGGCTCATCCCGCTCCGATACGTCAAGTTTCAGAACGTCAACAGTGTGACTGTACGTCACCGTACACTACAGTGCATTCACTTCAGTTCAGGTTGATTTGTGTAGAGCTTTTCACATTAGCACAGTACACGTTGTTTCAAAGCAGCTTTACAGAAAACACTTGTGTTCAACATCCATTCATTCGGAATAAAAAATACAAAACAAACAAGTAAACATAAACAAAAATAAATCTATAAAGCTCAGAAAGTACAATATCCCATTTGAGCATATTAGGGGTCCAGGTAATTTACATATGCGACCCTGGAGCACAAAAGCAGTGTTAAGTCGCTGGGGTATATTTGTAGCAATAGCCAACAATACATTGTATGGGCCAAAATTATACATTTCTCTTTTATGCCAAAAATCATTAGGATATTAAGTAAAGATCATGTTCCTTGACTGTCAAACTCTTCTCCTTGAAACTGCTGGCTGCAGAATTAGGTAAGACGTCCATATCATTTATAATACATATATAATATTTATATATTATATAAAAAAAATCAATATAAATACAAAAAGTATGCATTGCTAAGAACTTCATTTGAACAACTTTAAAGATGATTTTCTCAATATTTAGATTTTTTTGCACCCTCAGATTCCAGATTTTCAAATAGTTGTATCTCGACCAGATATTGTCCGATCCTAACAAACCATACATCAATGGAGAGCTTATTTATTCAGCTTTCAGATGATGCATAAATCTCAATTTCGAAAAATTTACCCTTAAGACTGGTTTTGTGCTCCAGGGTCACAAATTTCTCCCAAACTTCATTAAAATCTCTTTAAACATTCATCTCAAATTATTCCAATAACAATATTTTGAGTGAGAAAAATAAATATTTAAATGAATAAAAATAAATATTTAAATAAATAAATAAAAATAAAATAAATAATAATGAACAAAATTAGCTCAGGAAGTACAATATCCCATTTCAGCATCTCAAAATACTCCTATTAAATATAATTTTTGCAAAAAAAAAACTATATTTTGATGGAAAAAAAAGACAAATGAATATTTAAATAAAGCATAAATATTTAAAGGGAGAAAAATATTTAAATAAATATAAATAAATAAATAAAAACAGCTTAGAAAGTACTATATAATTTAAATAAATAAATAAATAAACAGCTCAAAGGTACAATATCACATTTCAGCATCTCCAAATACACCTGTATTGCATCAGTGAAGTCCAAACAATGTGATTTTTGCAACCTCACGATCCAGATACTTTACAAATGTCTCACAAACTTTATAAAAATATAAAATAACCTTATTTAATTCATAATAACAATATTTCAAGGGAGACGAAATAAAGTTAATAAAAATAAATGACTAAAAGCATATCAAAATACACCTGCATTACATGTAGAAAGTCCTTATATCAGTAAAAATCCAAATCCAAGCGTCATTTTTGCAACCCCGAGATCCAGATAATTTACAAATGCTTCCCGAACTTTATCAAAGTCCATTTTTAATGTTCATCTTATTTAATGTCATGATATCTTTGTGGTTCTTGGGGATCTAAAGCGTTTTCCATAGTACTTGATTTCAGAATTTTAATCAAAGCTTTCACATTTTCCACCTGTTTTCGTGTTCAGTTATTTATCAAGTCAAACCAAGGAGACGAGGAGACGACAAAAGTGAACTACTTGACGTTTATCGGGACTCCTGTCCAGGCGACGAACATGAGCGACTTCAAGCGGGTGAGTAAAGAGCGTTAACCAGCACTATCTGATCCCACTTACCACCATTCAGTCATTTCCAGTGTTGGGGGTAACGCATTACAAGTAACACAAGTTACGTAATCAGATTACTTTTTTAAGTAACTACTAAAGTAATGTATTACTTTTAAATTTAGAAGGAAATATCTGAGTTACTTTTTTAAATGAGTAACTCCAGTTACTTTGTTTCCATGTCTTGAGTGACAGTTCTGGTGTTGCCATGGTGACAGAAATCAGGAGTCAGTGCAGAGCGTTGTGTGAACATGATCTTACTGTAGCTCTAGACTAAATATCAACATGTAAATAAATACTCATCTCACCTGCACAAAAACAGATTCAATATTCCTCAAAATGAATAAAAACGGTCCAATGCAAACTCAGAATATTATACAAACCTGCAATAATTAAATGTTAAATAAGACAAATATCATTTATGTATTTAATCCCATTTTATTAACCAACGTCTTTGCTACTGACCTTCAATGATCCAATTCAACCATACTAATAAGAAAAAACAACACGTTTCATTTTTGTTATTGCTGAATAGTGTTGAATTTTCTTCTCCTGCGTCGTATTCTTCATGAGATTTGTTTGAGCGGCGCCCTCTACTGTACAGACGTGAATTTACATTTCCTTCAGCCTGAGGCCTATTCATTTCACTTTTGGTGTGAAAGGGCTTTTACATTTGTAAAAGAAGAGCTCTTTTATATTAAAACAAACAAGCAAACCCTGCCCAGATTTCAAAAGTAACGTAACGCATTACTTTGCATAAAAAGTAACTAAGTACCGTAATTAGTTACTTTTTTAGGGAGCAGTGCAATATTGTAATGCGTTACTTTTAAAAGTAACTTTCCCCAACACTGGACATTTCATTCAGGATTTCCTGCTGGATATTTTGTTGTGGATATTCCACA